AACAAGACGCTGCTCTTCGACGAGCCGGCGGACGCGCCGGTGCTCCAGACGGCAAAGGGGGTCGAGAGGGAGCTCCGTCAGGGGGCTGCTAGGGCGGGCCTGCCGGCCGTCCTCAGCGACAAATTCTTCTCGGGGATGGCCCTCAACATGCACCTGGCAGCGAAGAAGGGGAAGACGTTCGACAAAGTCGAGTGCTTCAACGAAGGCAACGGTACGTAAGCGGGAGGGAGGGCGCACAGATCCACACATATATGAGCTCTGCGTGTGGATGCTGCAGGTCAGCTGCTGATTGCAGACGGTCGCAGTGAGAGCGTCGACGGCCGTGTCAGGGGGCGCATCGACGCCATCATCATCTCATACGGTATCACCAAGCGTGTGGTCAAGACCACGACGGTGACGTGGCACCAGAGAGAGACCCTCGGCTTGATCAGGGGCCACCGCCATGAAAACAACCATGTCAACATCCAGGAGACGGCCTGCATCAAGCTCAACGGCGAAGCACAGGCACACCTCACCAAGATCAAGGGGGCTTACCTCGCCCTCCTCAACAACAGCAACCTGAACGCCGGACCTCAGTTGCCGGTGTGTGCCAACGCCTTCATATCGACCGGCGGCATTCACGCACTCATGGATGTCTTGTGTCTCTCCTTTCAGTAGGTCCCTGTCGCCCAACGCCCCGTCATCCCGATACACCCGGCGCAACGTTCTCCTCTGCCGATCGTCATCACCGCAGCCGGCGCACGACATGGCCTGAGTTCACCACCAGGCGGCGCGGCACTGGCACTGGCACTGATGAGGCACAAGCGCATGTGAGGACAGAGGCTGTCAAGTGTGTGCGTGTGGGTGTTGACGGGAGGGTGAGACAGAAGGGGAAAGCAGGAGGAGGGCAGGCAGTTTCTGATACTATGTGGCATGACATCTGGGCAGTTTGTGTCGCGTGTGGTTGCATGAAGGACTGTTGTGTGTGGCGGGTTTGTCGGCATCGGAGGCTGCACGTGAAGCGTGGAGCCTCTAGTGCCGACCACTCGTGTCTCTGTTCGTGTGTGTGAGTGTGTGTGTGAGGGGGCGGATTTTCTTGGCGGGGCAGTGAAGTCGAGAGAGGCGGTGACGAGACACACCCGTGGCTGGGGGAGGGGAGGGGCACACATCAGGCCAAGGGGGGACAGTCCATGTGTGGTGTGCTTGCGTGTGTATCTCATGTCAGTGTGTGTCATGACGGGAACAATCGAAGTACGTTTCAATCAAATTCCATCACTCGCTTGCTCCATCCTCGGGAGCCCTCTGATTGGCTGACCATCAGACAGCGAACATGCATTCACACACCGACAGACTGAACGCGTTTCCATTTATCGGTATCGTGTATGGTCAATCGCGGTCTCAATTTCGGTCTCTCCGTCCCTCCCTCTATTGCCTATTAGCTCAGCCTATCCACTAGCTAATCTCTACATCGCCACTGTCATCTCACGAACGACTCACCACTTGAGTCGGTCGCCAAACTCGAAATTGGAGTTGCCCTCGTCAGAACTCTCAGACGAGTCAGACCACCCGGTGCGCTCCATCCTTCCCTCCCTCCGTCGGCTCGCACCACCACCACCACCGCCGCCATTCGGCCACCAATCCCACCCCCCAGCCCCGCCAAACAGCCACGATCGTGGGATCCTATCATACAAAGCCACGTCTGTCTCTCTTTCGTCCCCCTCCCCAGCCTGCGTGTCGCTGGCAGGTGGGGGGCGGGGCAGAGACATGAAGGCCGAGAGGATGCTGTCTCTGTCTCTGTCTCGCTGCTGCGTGTCGTCCGTTGTGGCGCTTCGCCGCAGCTGCTGTGAGTGCCTGCCTCGCCGTGTTGTGCGGGGCTCGGAGGAGGGGGAGCTGTGTGCTGGCGGCCGGGGGCGGGAGGAGGGATGCCTGTGACGCTTGGAGGTGCGGCGGGGAGGGATCGGTGGACGCTCACCTGACCGAGACACACACGCCGAGGAAGATCGATCAGCCAGCCAGCCAGCCAGCCACCAGAGATCACCTTCATCCCTCTGACCTTTGCTCTTTGCCTTCTGATCGGCCCTGTCGATTGGCACAGGTGTGGTCCAGTCGGTGCGATAGGTGGTCAAAAGCGGGTCGTCGCTGTCGTCCAGCAGCCCGCGTGTGCGCGCCCGGAGCGACTCGGATGACGATGACTGTGCTGTCTTGTCACTTGACCATGAGCTGATGGAGAGAGTGCGCTGGTGGGTGATGCACGAGTCGCAGAGGGATGGGGCGGGAGGGCGAGAGCGGGACTGACGACGGCGGAAAAGCATTGTGAACAAGGGAAACGGCTGACACCAGGAAAGGGGCAGGGAGAGGTCTCCGTCTCTGTGGTGTCCCTTTGTGTGTGTCTTGCGTGGTCCATGTTATGTTACCTTGCGAAGGACGAAGGCAAAGTAGATGCAGACAGCGATGAAGACAATCAACAAAGTGGTGCAGATCTGTGTGTGACCAGAGAGAGACACGTCAGACACACGCACCATCATCCATCCCCTCTCCGCCTCTTCACCCATGCTGCGATGATGACAGCGTCGTACGTCCTGCAGATGGCCTCCGTGTGGCACCGACCATGGATGACGCATGCACACCTCGTCGCCCATTGGCCGTGCTGCGGGCTGCCGTGCGATTCGCCCCTCATTTGCACAAAGTGTGACCCTCTTCCCCTGTGGCAGCTGGGGTGCTCCATGCGGAAGAGGCCACGGGCCTTGCACAGCAGAGCCCTCACTGCATGGGACACAGGGTGTCTCGCCCCCGTGGTGTCTCTGATGAGTTGGTCGTCCTCAGTCTCGGTTTCCGCGAAGGTGGGCGGCTCTTTCTTCAAGTTCAGAATCCGCTGCTCTCCGTCCTTCTGCTGCGCCGTTTCCCCCTCCTCAGTGTGTGTCTTGCCGTCGCTCTCAACCCACGTCTGTCTCACCGAGCCCTGATGCTCGTGCGGGCGAAACGACAAAGGGGAGTCGCTCGACGACACGCGGAACGGGGCCTTGTTGGCGTTGGTAATCACCCTCCGCCGCTGGCCGTGGAACAGCGCTTGTAGCAGGACATAGGGCGGCTCCTCAGCATCCATGTGCGCCAAGGAGTAGGGACGCACCGGGGAGAGGGAGCCATCCGAAGGCTGCACGGACACCTCGCGAGAGTTGTCGTCAGCAGGAGAAGGACGGGGCTGGCTGCGGAGCACGAAATGGGCCGACAGGGGGTTGCGAGAGGCGGCGGGGCCCGGTGCTGCATCATGATGTTGCCGCCGGTCTTCGTGTCCAGGTTCCACAATGGTGATGAAGCGGCAGAAGAGGAGAAGCACGAGGGCCGGTTGGTGGTATCGATGAATCCTCATTTGCATGTCGCCTTGAGGATGGAGAGAGAAGGTCGACGGTTACAGAAACACCCTTATCGCCAAACAGGGCGGAGAAAGCTGGAGGGCAAGAGAGGGGATGATCATCTTGCGAAACTCGAAGGAGCCACAGCAGTCTCGTCAAAGAGCGTCCATCGTCGGCCCCCACAAGCGCGCATGTCGGGGGGAGAAGAAGGGGCGCGTTCTTCGGCCCATGGACTCATTTGCTTTCGTCCGGATGACGCGGGCCCAGGAGGAGAGCAAAGGTGAGCCCCTGGATGGACGGATGCATTCATGGTGGCATGCTGGCTGCTGCTCTGCGCTGGGAGGAGGATGCATGCGAAGAAAGGCGATTCACATTGCAGAACGGTCCTTGCCTTGCTGTTTGTCTTGCTGTTCATCATCATTCCGTCAGGTTTGGCGCCCTCCGTGGATCAGTTTTTCAAGGATGCATCCTCTGTGGCCACGAGTGCCCAGTGGCAGCAGGTGCAGTACAAGTCCTCCCACACATCGCAGCAGTCGACGTCGAGCGATGACGGCCACACAGACAAAATCGGTGAGCAGCCAGGAGAAGGAAGAGGCGCAGGCGCGGCGGCGGCGGGCTGATTTCCTTTTTTGCCATCTAGATGCGGAGGAGCTGTTTCGATACATCGAGTGGCGGTTCGGCATCCCCATGCCGCGCGCGTATGGCCCGCCCATCTACCGCCCCGTGGTGATGACGGGAGCTGCCGGCAGCAAGTACCAGCAGGCGGGCATGGGGGCGGGGATGGGCGTTGGGGGACACGCTGCTGCCACCACCTATCACATCTTCAAACGCACACAGGGTGAGACCGACACTACGGCTGACTGAAGGGCCTAATTGCGGTAGTGTGCGTGTGTGTGTGTGTGTGTGTCATGCAGGGCAGGGATAAGTGAGGGTAATGGGTTGGCGGGTGACAAAAGGGGATGTACGGCAGAGGGCAGAGGCGTGTACAGTAGAGTGCGGTGCAGGCAGGTTGGGGTGACATGACAGCGTGAATATGTATGGCATGCTCAGGTAGACAGACAGACACCCACCCACCCCACTCCACCACACCACCGGCCTCCAATGGTTCATCAAGCAAGACAGACACATAAGTCTGCGTCAGTCTGTGTGCACAGGCACACACATGCCATGCGCCCCGCGCACGTTTGTACGTCCATCTATTGACGTATGCCTGCCTGTGGGTATGTGTGTGTGTATGCGTGCGCGAAAGACCTACTCGACAACACCCACAAAATGAATGCCATCCATCCATCCACCCACCCAAGTGCCTCCCTCGATCACTCAGCCTGACACAAACGGATCATAGAACTGCACCACGCCCCACCTGCACCCACAAAGACAGGGACAATGCCTGAGTGCTCAGGGGGGGGGTTAAGGCTGGGCCTTGCTCACTCACTCACCTGCCATTGACCATCCACTTTGGATCGCTCTCGGCTGCTTTCTGTGTCTTGTCCGCCGCCATGCCGCAGCTGCACACACGCGCAAGTTCATGCGCACATGTGTACCCACATACACACATGTGTTTTCATTCGCCAATCCGCTCACCCCAATTCGGCCTTGAGTGCTCGCAGGGCCAGCATCCGTGTGGGCGAATACGTCACCACATCAGAGAAGGGCGTTGATAGCGGCCAGTAGCGATCACCTGCAGCACACACACACACACACACATACACACACAGGGCTGCCTGCATCCTTTGTCCCCCGCACAGACAGCGAAGACCAAACACACCGAGTAGTCGCCTGTAGTTGCAGTCGCCCTTGACGATCATCATGCTGGACTCGTTTGCCAGTGTCTGCCGGAGGCCCGGTGGCATCTCCCAGAAGGCGTAAGGCTGGTTCCAAAAGCCATCACACTGCAGGACGGGACACACACAGAGGGAGGGAGGGAGGGAGGGAGCAAAGACGGCGGCGTCTTTGCTCTGTTTTGCGGATGGTGTGTGTGTCTCACGTTGAATTGCCACTTGTTCTCGTCGACGTAGGACCGCAATCTCTGGGCGATCTTGACGCATGACGGATACTGCACACGCAACAGGACATCTGTGTGGGGGGGGGGGG